ACTGTTGCTGCCGCCCCAATTTTCAGCAGTCAAGCAACACGAAATGCGAATCTAAATGGATTCATCGTAGGCACAGCTGAACGCTGCCTTGGGGGAAGTCCTATTAAGAACATGCGATATATAATTGCCTTTTAATATAGAGACATACGTACATACATATGTATGCACATTTGTTGTTGGCCTTTGTATTGCTATGTGAATTAGCCACAACACAAAAAACCCATTCACTGCGAAGGAGTAAGTAAATAAATAGACCAAGGTGCTGTGTTGGTTAATTCCAAAATGTAATTCAATGCAAATGAATCAGAGCTCACGTCGCGATACACGATCAAGGCTTAGTCATATTCGTGTGGCCGGCATTGTGAGTGGAAAAATGGCGATAAGCAGCTTGAATTCCTAGCTATTTCAGCTCGCCGAAGTAACGATGAATGCAACAGATGAAATCAGAAATGGACGTATAGTATACTAGGTATTTATGTAATTGAACAATTAGGATATTGATTCAACACATGCGCTGAGCTTCGGTGTCGTATACTTGATATTGAACTAGATATTATACTAATATAGAGTTCATAGTCATTGTACCTGCAATTAGGCAAAATGGAATTCGGAATAAACTAATATTTTGAGAGGTGCTGCAAAATAAATTACAGATTTTTAAAACTATTCTGGCAGATTTAATAATGTGGAATATTTTCTATATTATTCAAGTACTAGAGTTCTTATTTCATTACTGCAAATATTTGTAGAAAATATGTAGACAATAAGAATAGCGCATTAAAAATCAATTCTGAATAACTGTTGCAGCCAGAGTTACAACAACAACCTATAGAACAAGCTATAAAATTAAATTTGTTTATGAAATAGTAATTAATAATTAATAATTAAAGTGGATATTGTTCAACTATTAAAGCTCATGTTTATAGATTTATTTTGATATGCAAATACGTTTATATAAATTATTATGTGTTCATTAAATAATTCAACCATAGTTATTGCCACATAAAATATTCATGGCACTCGTTAATATAAAACTAAAAGCTAACGCCCGTGCTCTAATTGCAGTTAGGACTTTAGTGTGCGATATCATTAGCGAAATGAAATTAATTGCAGTTGGATGTGAAGAGCAGATAGTGTCTAATAATTGCATACGATAATATATATGGGCTGCAATTATATATGAGTATTAGTTGAAATTACTTGGCATTTAGGCCGCATGTTTAACGACCGAAAGCCATCAAAAGTTCAAGCAAGCGTTCATAGCGCTCGATATCCAAATCTATCTCAAACTCAATTCGTTTTGAATTCCCAGTAAAATTGCCAAAGTTTTTGTTCGTTTTAATGGAACGAGCATACAAATTGTCAATTCAACAGTTTGCTGAATGCTTTTTCTTCGAATTGAACTTTGTCCATGGCAACGTTCGTATTCATTCAGATTCATTAGAATCCATTCAGTGCGACGACCTCGATGGCGTCGCCTCCAAATTTCTGGTGCTGTCAGAAACTTATCTCTATGAGATAATTTGCATACATATTTAATGGGCTTATTGGCAATGGGGCTGCCCCCAGTGGGGCCATAATTTGTATCGACTGCGCCTGCTGGCCGGCCCGCGCTGCATTTGGGGGCCAAGCGCTGGGCATCCATCACCATTTGGCGCCATGTCTATTGCATTCCGTGGGACGCATTTCCAGTGGCTAATGCCAAGCAATTTGTTCCACAGCGTATAAATCTTGTGCACATTGTTTGGCTGCCAGTCAAGACACACACACACACACACACACACGCATACTTGAAAGAACTGGGTGGCCATTGTATTGCCTAAATGAGGAGGTCCTTAAGATATGCGAATGAACTGGTGCGTTCTGCTCGCTAGGCAAAACGTTTTGTCTTTGGTGTTAGTTAGTCTAGATTCTGCGCCTAGATTACTTACATCAGCAATCAATAAAATATAGGACTAACACAAGCGCTGCATGTGTGAGTGTGGTGGTTCTGGCATTCGGCCAAAGTGCGTTTCCTGCTGCCCACTGTGGCACTTGATCAGATAAAACTAGCATCAAATTTGAATGGTGTGATTATGTCTCTAGAGAGTACTTTCGGATAACATACATAAAATAGCATCTTTACTGCGGAGGCATGTGCATATAACTACGATGCATAAATACTTATATAAATATATATATGTGTGTATGTGAATATGAACAGAATTTTCATGATTCTGGAACCCCGCAAACTTGATTTGCTAGATCTATATGCTTAACAATAAAAAATTTGTACTGCCAGTTTATCTTATATTGATTAATGAAATCCTCGCCCATTGCTGAGTCCTTGAATGGATACTTTCATGTTCACTTCCTGAACCACTGTGCAGCGTCTTTTATTCTGCCGCTTAGCTTGGATTTCATTGTTTATCTATGCGAGTGCACTGTTGTTGCTGCCCTGTAGGCAACTACTGCTTGTGCTTGTGTGCACACACACACACACATACAGTCTCACATGTGTGCACACACAGCTGCTCGAGTGTGGGGCCTTTCGCTATTGTTTGTAGAATTTATTGCACGAATTTCTGAATTGGCCTCTTCGGATGGGTATGTGGGTTTTATTTTTATATGCCCACACACACGCACACATATATATAATTATATATATGTATACGTCTATATATATATCCAAGATGAAAGCACGCATGGCTCGGCACCATTGGCCACTCGGCTGTGGCCTTGGCTGGAGCTTATGCTAAAACAATAGCCCGACCATAAGTATTTATTGGATCGCATTGCCGCATTACGTTTGGGCCTGGCTCGCAGGTGCTGCCATTTATGCTCCGGCCGTCTTAATTGGCATTAAAAAATTAGAACGGTATTTCGTACCCAAAGGCAGACAACAATTTGGGCAGCATTCATTCCACATTTCTCTCCTTCTGTCCGTTCGCTTTGTACACATTGCGCATACGCCACGTGGCTGTATGACAAAACCCATATCCTTGTCTAAATATCCGGTGTTATTACTGTTGTAATTTCCGTTCGCTGTGCGCTGGCTGTCTCTGGATGCTTTTCATGCGTCAAGCGATTGTCTCATCAGCGTTGGACCTATTGCAGGGGCTAATATTATTAATATTGCGTATACGCCGCGCTTGACATTTATTTATTACGCTCGCCTTTAATGTCGTCACATAAATTTATGGAAAACCCGAAAACAATTTGTACACAAACATGCAACACGTTTCCGGCTCATCATTTTCGGTTGCGTGAGTCGCGTTTTATGAGTTCCCATGTGTGGGTGCCCATGCCGCCTCATCTCCGCCGCGGCAGGCCGTAAATGCGTTATATGTGATGCGGCTGTCGCATAAATTAGTTGCGGATTTACACTGTTTAGCTAGGAATTTAGAGCCGAATGCGGGCGGCCAACATTTGTATTAAAAGCGTTGCACAAAGCCATTCTGACAGAGGTTCAAAGCCCTTTGGGCTCCCAGTTTGACAAGAGGGCTTTATTTCGTAATGCAAAATGTGCGAAGAGTTAATGCGAGCAAATATTTTGGGCAGAAATGGGCTTTAAGTGCTCACCCACCGAAGCTTGGGGTAGACAATGCACTTTTAACTGGGCCTCTGCAAATATTTGGTAAAAATCGATATTTATCGATTTTCGAAGCATATAAATGATATGAGGTATATAATTGTCATGTAGTAATCTAAGACTTAGTGCTGCATTGCCAGGGACTTTGCATGATGTAGTCGAGCGCTTTTCTGGGCTCACTTTATGCTCGTCAACTGTCAGACAAATGTCGCCTGCTCTTCGCCTCATTTCGGACAGCTACATGTTGAGTGGACATGCACCCAAACACACAGTTGCATGTGGCATGCAGAAATGTTGCAACATTCATAGCATATAATCGCAGCGGACAACGGACATTCGAGCCAGATGCGTGTTGCATGTTCAAATTCATGATTTATTTATGGTTTGACAGGGGGGGAGTCGGGGGCTCTGTGAAAACAACGCGACGCCATAAATCGCCCGAATCATGTTCAGGCGGACAGCCAGTCACTCTGGACTGCCGCCTAGCAATTAAATCGAATAATTGAAACGAAAATTTAATTAAAATGCATTTAAAGCCAACAACACAACGAAAAGCTAAAAACATGGCCTAAAACAATTATGAGCAGAGACACTGAGCTGGACGCGAGCATATGTAATGCCAGATGTTTGTGTGTGTGTGTGTGTGACCTTAATCCAATTAGCAGTGTCCTGCTGCTGCTGCTGCCAGGTCACCGCTGTGTGGCACCTCTCAAATGATTCCCCAATTTACTGTCAGTCAATTTAATTTCGTGTCCTGCGGCAATGGCGAACTCCGCCCGAATTGGCAGTTTGGGCAGGTGCCTGCTGGCTGGTGGCTGGTAGCTGGTTTCAATTTCATTGAGCTGGCCATTTGCTGGCACTTTCGGAAATTGTTTCAACGTCGGTTTGTAATTTCACACGCAGTTAAGTGATTAGCCTTGCTTTTTGCTTTGCTTCTTCTTTTGTGAACTCCAAGCTGAAATCAAAACAAAAGCGAAAGAAAACTAAGTTAACGAAAGTGTGTAAGTGTGGGAGAGGGAGAGAGAGAGAGGGAAGCAGCTGGAGACAGATGTCGGCGGGAGTGCCCGACTAGCAAATTGAAATGTGTAAGGAATGGCAGCAACTAGCAGGAAAATGAAATATTCAAGGTCTATGTAGACTTGATGAAAGCTCGTAAAACTAAAGAACTAAGTTTATAGCTCCATCAGTTAAAGTCTTAGTCATCAAATGGACTTTAATCAATGCTCAAGTACTAGCAGATGCTATATGTACTACTTAGATATATTTCTTGATAAGTTTTTGTATCACATATGTATATACATATTCCAATAGAACGCTCAATACTTTCACACATATATACACAATCCCAATAAACCTCTCCTGCACCTCATTCAGACAATGGATAAAAAGCATAAAATGATTTTTATTTCTTGATTCCGCTCGATTGCAGCTGGGCCATTCCATGTGAAGCAGCGCACGGAGCAGCAAGGAGCGCTCAAATTCAATCACTTGGGGGCAGCATGGATGAGGAGCACGACGACGATCGAATAATATGAGATTAGATGGGGCTTTAGAGCCCCGTCACGGTGCTGCCACGTTGCAGAGCCGCTTTATTGGTGTTGCCAAGTATCGGCGCGAGACGCGCGTAAAATGTGAGCTACAGCAACAGCAATGCGCTGACGAAGACGACGAAGCAGCAGCAGCAGCAATAGCAGCAACAGCAGCAACAGCAGCAGCAGCAGCAGTAGCAGTAGCAGCAGCAACAGTCGCAGTCGCAGTTGTAGCGCCAGCAACAGCTAAGCACGTTAACAACAACTACAGCAGTAACAACAATCAGAGCAACAACAACAACAACAACAGCAACAGTTGTCGCTGGGAGCAACAAGCTCAACACTTGTCGCCCACCCAGGCGCCAAGCACAACAACAACAGCAACAACAACAAAGCAAGTCAACTTGCACTTAAGCAACTTGGGCGCGACAGCAGCAACGGCAGGAGTAGCAGGAGCAGCAGGAGCAGCATTACTAACCACTGCCGCCACCCTAAAAATGCGTGTGGAGCACTCGTTAATGCTAATGGCGCCTTGGATCGGTGGCGGCCAGCGCATGGTTAGGATGGGGTGCCACAGCGCAAACAACGTCCTGCGCCTGATTTCCGTTTTGGCGCTGCTGTTGCTGCCGCCATTGCCGCTGGCGCTGGCCGATGACGGTGACAATTTCTTTGCCGTTAATAGCTTCAGCGTGGGACCCGAGACGACAACGCCCGAGTTTGGTAAGCCAACACCACATGCTGGCTGCCCAGCCATATACATATACATATACATATACGTAGGGGCCAGGTCAGGCGTTATCGCAATGCATGCAAATATCATTTGCGGCAAAGCCGTAATCAAATATGCTCCACAATGACGTCATCATGCTGCACACGTTCCATTGTTGCATAATCAACACGGGACACGACCCAGCGCATGTCTACAAGCATAAAAATAGTTACACTACTTGTTTAGCCATGTTCACGTGTCTGTGTGTGTGTGTGTGCCTATCGTTTCGCAGAGCCACTGGAGGTGATTGCGTGCCGTGCCTAGAAGCATCTGCTTTGGGTCGTGGTACGTGTTGAGTGCACTTGCATGCAAATTGCGAATTTCAAACGAAAATTGAGTGGATGAGTCCAAAATTGATTGAGTCCGGTATTGATAAGTCTAAAATTGATAGAATTCAAATAGTATATTAGCGATGTTCTATCGAGTATCATTTAGTTTTCAGTTCTGTTTGTTTGGCGAAACTGTTCAAACCCTTTTCAGTACTAGTAGTAGGACAATGTCTGGATTCATTCAATCTATATAAAGGGTTTTCACTGATAAGATGGCATATCTATATATCCAGTTTCCGCTTATCGGATATAGTATATGTGATATATACATATAACATCATTTTGATGTTATGTTGGGAATTTCGTCCATTAAAACTACTGTTCTTTCATATTTATTCTGAGGATTTCGATATTTTTTTGAGGTTTTTCTCAGTTAAAACTAAAAGAATATATTCGGAAATCAGCAGCTCTTAGTTTTCAATACCTATCCAGTAATTTAAGTATATTAAATAGTATATCCATATATCAACTACACTAAAAAGCTTGTCGAAGCTCAGAATGCCACTCCAATCGAGGCCTGCTACCTCCCCTTATTTCTATTTCTTACCTCCTACCAAAGGAAATCCTCTTTACAATTGTCAATTGACAAATATTTTGTGCAAATTTCTGCCGACAATGATATTTCATAGAGTTGAACTTGCTCAATTAATCTAAATCCGACCTTTGCTTTTATTGTATATCCCTTGACACACCCCACCCACTTCAGTGGCAGGCTCAAAATCTATTGTTATTATAATCCACACGCTGTCATCTCTGGTTTTTTATCTGTGTGAGTCACTTGCACAAAAAGTATTTCCATTTCTATCTCGGTTGGATGAGGTTTTTTGTTGTTGCGCCGACTGCAAAAAGGTTTGCCCTGCAGATTGCTTTTCTTCTATATGCCAAAGGGCGAGAGACAGAGTGAGATGGGGGGAGTGAGATGGAGAGAAAGAGGATGAGGCAGAGAGTGAGAACATTTTTGAAATAAGCAAAAGTTTCTAATTATAAATGCCAGCCGTCCGGGGGCATCGGGCATCCGCAGACTTTTGTGCGAAAATGCCAAATGACTGACCATCAGCGCTTCGACACTGGCAATCACTTATGAACATGAGGTTTTTGCTTTGGGTAGGGGCTGCCTAGGGTGTCCTTATGTGAGAAATGAGTCCAAGAAACGTGCCCCGAGCAGCAGCAGCACGCCGTTTGGTAAACAAAACTGTCTTGTCTGGTAAGCTCCCTTTGAGCAGGGTATTAAAAGCGTTGCGGTGCTTGGCTGTGTGCTAGTCAGTGCACACTTTGTCAGTGCTAGCAGCAAATTTGCCTCGCCTTGCAGCAAGGCTGCTTGCCACAAAAACCGAACCAGCAGCAGCAGTAGCAGCGGTAGGGGCAGCGGTAGGGGCGGTGGTAGCGGTAGCATTGCTTTTTTAGCTGCACATGGCCGGGCGCTATTCATAGCAGTCGCTGCATTTAAAAATAAACCGCAGGCAAATAGGCATGCACAGCCCAAGCATGAGCACACACACACACACACACACACACACTAACACACACACTAACACACACATATTTACCGCATAAAAATGGCGCAACCTTACGAAGGCGCAGCCATTTTGTTTTGTCTTTTGCGCTTCCGTTGGCTTAAATGCGAGGTCGGCGCACATCCTTTTCCTTTTTCCCGTTGCCTGCTATCGCCGGGCTAGGCCTCAGCATCGCCACCAGCCTCATCAGCAGCATCGTAGGCAACAGAGTATATACTGTTATACTGGGTAATTATGGCTGGATATCAACAACCAAATTAGTGGAGCAAACGGTGTGCGCGTTTGGCATATGCCGCAACATTAACGCTGACGCTGACGCTGGCGCTGGCGCTTAACCCCTCGTTGCCGTTGAGATTTTTTCCTCATATTGTTGGACGCGAGTTCCGGCCGAAAGTTGCTCCCAAGTGCTTAATTAAGATGTGAGAAGAACTCAACTCACTTTACATGCTGCTGGCGTGTATGTGTGTGTGTTTGTGTTTTCATTTCATTCAAAGTTAATGAAGAATACGCCCCTCATGCTCATCCGACAAGTGGCATGTGGCATGTGGCATGCACAGGCTGAAGTGCCTACACTTGAGCCGCACTCCGGCCCCTTGAGTGCGTAGCCAGAAACCAAAAAAACATTTCGGCACACTGCCGTGCTCAGGTGTACGCTGGTGGTATATATGTATGTATGTATGTCCATATACATATATACATATCCTAGCTGGCTGACTGACAGTCGTTGGCTCTGAGATTTATACATGAATTTACATTTTAATCTGCCACTAAGCCGCTCGGGATTCAAATACTTTTCACATTTTCAGCGGACTTTGAGTGCTTCTTTTATTTTATTTGTTTGGATTGAAAGTTTGTTGCGGTTTCATTATAAATTTGTCGCTAGGGATTTGACGAGAAACATGTGTTAAGATTGCCGTTCTCATGCCTGCCCCTAACCCATACACATGCATACACATATACATATATATATATGCTTATATTGGAATATTCACAGATTATGCCAGCCGTGGCCAGAAAAAGTTTGGTGACAAGTGCGAGAATACATTGGAATGCGGTTTTCCCGGCTCCATATGCGATCCCAAGAAGAAGTCCTGCCAGTGCACCGAGGATCTGCAGGTCACCAATCACATTGACAAATGTGGCAAGGGTAAGCGAAGAAGAGCGCAAAGCGAAAGACGAATGACGGTGGGTGGAAGGATGGAGGGTGAAGGGTGATGTCCCTTGCTTCGCTGTGCCAGTTGCGCCCGGCCTTGCTTGTCAGTCTGCCAAGTTTTCATTAAAAGAATCGCCCAGCTAGCGAAACAAATCCCCCAAAGCCTTACGTTGATTACTAACTGCTGAATATTGAAAATTAAAAACAGAAAACTTGGCAGCGCGCTGCCATATAATGAACCTGGGGAACTTTGCTCATCTCTGATATAATTATAGTATACGTTCCCTGGACGTAAACACATTAAAAGCCATAAATTCAAATCAATTTGTGCGATTATTGCTCGCATTTCTGACTGACACATTTAAGGCCTGGCTAATGAGTCATCGAGTCGAACGGTGGCGCGCCAATGAAATTGCGGATAGCATTGTGAAATCACAATAAGGAATATATAGAGTTAACATGCTTAGATATTAACCTGATGAAATGCATCACAGTTCATTATTATTATTATTGCTCTCATTATCATTGCCACTGTCAGCATTATCCTTCCCCCCGGCGTTGGCATTTCCTTTGCTATTGCCATTCTAATTATCATTATCATTATTATTATCATTATCATTATCATTATCATTGTCATTGTCATTGTTATTGTTATTGCAAATGTCATTATATATCATGAATGTCATTAGTGTTTGGATTGTCAATATTACTCTTCCTTTGTCATTTTCATTTTCATTATCATTATCATTGCCATTGTCATTAGCATATGCTCTGACATTGTTATTATATATATGATATTCATTATTAATTAGAGTTGGCATACTTTTATCATTATCATTAACAATATCATTGTCATCATCATCATCATTATCATTATTTGTTATCATAATTATTTCTGTATTATTCTATTCCTATTTTATGTCCATGTAAAACAAAATTCCTAGTAAAAACCATGCTAGAGCACCTCTTCGGCTCTCTAGTTGAGGAAATAGAGTTTATTTGTAAACATTTCCTAGTTCATCCGCTATAAATATGCTACAAGGACCTGGTGCAGACCTCAAACATTCCCAGACACGGTTTATGCATTTACACACATGCTAAAATTATTCAAATACATTTTCAATGGCCGTATAAAAAGTCAGACAGGTGGAGGGTGCTCCGACTACCGACTACCGACCACTCCCTCTAGTGGGCTATAAAAATATTTGTCTGGCAGTCATCAAACTGACGCCACTGAGAATTTACTCAGTCCAGAGTCCAGCTGTTCCGTTCCGAGCCAGCCATAAAGCAGAGTTCTAAACAAGCTGTGGAACAATAGAGCAAATATATTTATATGCTATGTTTGTACATCGCATCTATGTGTGTGTGTATGTGTGCGTGGTTAACTGAAATGAATCATGGCCACAGACAGCTGTGCTACAAGGCTTCACTCTCTCTACTCCACTTGCAGCGGCTGCCATCAACGAGTCCTGTTTCTTCAACGAGCAATGCGAGGCGATTTACTTTCAGACGGAGTGCCGTGATGGACGCTGCATATGCCGCTTCGAGATGTTGCCCATCTGGGGCAAGGATGGCTCCGTTGAGTGCAAAGGTCTGTGTGACATAGCGAATTCAGTTTTAGCCAGGACGCAAGACTAATATCATTGTCGGTTGTGCTTCTTTGCAGGACGGCAGGACAAGCGAGGACCCGAGACATACATTGATCCGGCCATGATTGGCGTGCTGGTAGGAATGGCATTGATGTTTATTATTATTTGTGTCGTCCTGCGATTATTTAGCCAGTGAGTAAATTGCAATGCAAACATTTAACACAAGCAACAAACATAATCTAATTGGGCCAATGGGTGGGCGATGTCAGCCTCATTAGGACTGTACCCAATGCGACTCAACTCAATTTGGGTCTTGACCCTGTGACGTTGCCCTGGCCACCGGCCAAATGATACATAATTTGATCAGCAATTAATTTCACTTAGATGAACAAAATTTTTGCATTAATTGGCATTAAGGGTGGCCAAGAGCAACGTCAATGTGCCACACACACACACACACGCGCACCCACACACACACACGCGCACCCACACACACGCAAATAGAGCTAACTTTAGTTCAATCGAGCCACGCCCAGCTTTCGCACATGTCCCAATCCACAATTTCTCCTGCTTCACTCAACTAACTCAACCTTATGAATTTGCTATAGGGCGCGCTGGCATGAGAACCGGACCATATTCAATACGCCGAATCCGCGCCTGATGAACGTCTCCCTGCTGCGGGACAACAAGCTGCTCCATGGCCAGGACAGGCGGGGCTCTCGCATGTCGGTGCGCGCTCCATCCCGGCAGCCGAGCATGGCCTCGTTGCGCCCGCACTCGCCCAACCCGTCGCTAGGTAAGACAGGTTTGTATTCCATAATTACGGCTTCTATTGATGGCACCATTCTTCTTTTAACCAGTACTTAACCAGTGCGCATTTTGGCTTTGGTTTCTTCATTTAGTTTGTGTGTGTTGTTTTTGTTGTTGTTGAATCGTTTTTGTTTGATTTGTGCTCTTCCGTTTGAGAACTTGCAGAACTTTCTGCACACAGCAAGAATAAATGCAATCAATCAATCAATCAATCAATCAGTCAACCAATCAGTCAGCCAGTCAGTCGCCAAAAAAAAGAAATAAAATAAAGAAAAGAAAAACCCAACAACTAACCAAACAAATCACAGCAGAAATATCCCTTTGCGTGAGTGTGCAAAAGTTAAGCACTTAGCAAAAAAAAAAATATATAATATATATATTAATAGCAAAAAAGCAAGCAAAATGTTCCTTAATGATATCTTAAGACTGTACTTAAACACTTTTCTTGATTGACATTTGATAATTTATAAATAAAACGTAAATAAATGTAATGCATGTATTTATAGCCACAAACCATTGCGAATTCATCTATAAGGCAATAATCCTAATTGAACTTGAGTTAGTTGACTTTGCGATTTGAAATCATTTATAAAGATATCATATATAGGAAGGTAGATATTGAGCGGAAATAAGACAAGTGGCAGAATTTAATAAATATTTATTGCTATAATTCAAAAATAATTTGGAAATACTTTAGACTTTGATTAATCAAAGACTCTCTAATAAAGAAAAGATTTTTATGCTAATTTCCATGAGGACATATATAATTTATATTATTTACAATTTGATTTCTTAAGACAAAAATCTTAAAAATTACAATTGAAAATTATTTATTTGAATAAAACTTTTTTAGAAGATAAAAGATATTATATTTTGCATCTTAATTCGATAAGTTTCAAATTAATAAAGAATATTTTTTTGGTTTACAAAATTCCAATTGGTTTACATAATATAATTTCATGAAATGCTAAGAATATTTTGATTCAAGAATATTTTTAGAGTTTTTAAATGAGAAAATAATAGACATTATTCTATGATAAGTATGCTTCTTTAATAAACATGAAATGAAAACAGAAAATATGTTGAGAACAAAGTGAGTTAAATGAAACACTCAAATAGAACAACTCTCGGCGCATTTGTTTGACAACTGAAGTAGTTATATAAAGAGAAAGCAAACGTGTTTTCTTTTCATATAAAAAGCTTTGGGCTTACTCATCAGCCAAAAAGCCATCGAGTCTTACCCAATTGAGTGGATCGCATTTTGAATGAATTTCTCTGTGGAAACGTAGCGTAATCAGTGCCAAACAAAATTGCGACAAGTTCAAGTGTGCGGTTTGACTACTTTGGGGCTCAATCAAATTGATTGACGCTCTAAGAACCGTAAAGTTTCGCAGCTTGATTGTTGTTGCCTCGCTATTGCTATCTAAAGGCAGCCGCTGCCAATTACCTTTGTTCTCAGTGCTTAACTTTATTGTTGTTATTTAAATTTTGTGTCGCGATGCCAAACAATAAAACAATTTCTTTGCTCGCCGCCTGCTCTCTCTTCTGCCACACCAACTGACATACATATACAAACAAACACATTCACATGCATACCCACATATACACGCAACCACACACAAACAAACGTACGCACGAACAAATCGCTGTAAAAGGTCGCATGATACGCTCGAAGAGCAACACGCGCTCCAGCGACTCCCGTGTCAGCGATGTTTCCAACTGTTCCCGTCTGCTGGAGCATCCGAGCGCCGCCAGCCAGTACAATGTTGTCCATAGCCATTTTTTGCCCTACGTGCCAACCACCACATCAGCGGCGACAACGTATGCTGCCCCAGCCACAGCCACAGCCACAGCCACAGCCACAGCCTCAGCTACAGCCGCAGCTTCAGCTACAGCCACTGTCCCAGCGACGCAGACGCCGACGCCGACGCCAGCGTCAAGCATCATCGTTACGACCACATATGTGTCGTCGCCGGGCACGGCACCTGCCTGCGGCATGACTGCCAATCCGGATGCCAATAAGTTTTAGTCATAGGCCATACATACAACATATATCAAATGAAATGCAGCCATATCAGTATGTCAGTACCAGTACCAGTACCAGTTCCAGTTCCAGTTCCCGAATCGGTTCCACGAGGTATGCAGTCGCCTCAGTTTCGTTGAATGTGTTCCTTAGCTGTGTTATGCCCAGTGTCCTGTATATTGTAGTTGCTGTCTGTATTGTTGTCGTACCAAACTGTTGTAAGAATCTAACATTAAAGCTAAGTCGTAGTGAGAGTTGCCGTTAACCTCTAAGCTAAGTAACTGCTCCCAACTGTAACAAATATTGTACTAGCCCCAATGTATGTGTTCCACCAGACACTCTCCAAGACACCAAACACTCTCTCTAGACTATAACAAAACAGAAGAACTACCACACACACACTTAATGTTAAGATTCTAGTTAAAGCTTAACTTCAAGTTCAAGTTCATGTTAAAATTTACGGATTTAGTTATTTAGTCTTCGTACACTAACGACACATCTAACTGATCATACGAAACTGTCATACGAAACACTACCGGAACCCATCTACTTCTGCCATATACATGACATTATTTGCATATCGTATAGAGCCTAGCAGCGTCTGTATTTTGTTTTCATTTTCATTTCAGTTTCATTTCGACTTCTATTTCTACTTCCGTTTCCGCTTTCTGTTTCCCGTCTCTAATGCACGCCATTTCCGTTTTGAGCATGCTTGGCCAACTAGTTATATGAATTAGCCAGCTTTCGCCTAAGCCTAAAAAACTATTAAATAAATTTTATGCTTGCAGAGGACGTTGTAATTAATCAATATATAATGGTATATGGTATAAATCTAGATGTGATTAAAGTTCATTTGTAGAGTCGATAGATTAATCTACAGTAATTTATGTTTAATAGGGGCTATATGAGCCAGAAGACTGCTGCTAAAGTCCGTTTCGTAGTTGTAGTTAACTTTGTTTACTTTCTTTTGTTAAATCTCGAATCCTTGACATATTACTATACATTATCTATCCCTAAACAATTCTATATGGTATGAAAATATAATGGAAATTCCTCATCATACAATTAACTCTATTTCTAAGCAGTTACCCGTCCGATTCGCCTCTGCAAGTGTATGTCATCTGCGGCAATCCGAAGATAACTTTTCTCATTACTATTTATTTGCCATAAAAATTCTCACATTATTATGTAGAGTGCATAAGTAGGCCAGCGTGCTTCTGTGTAGTCTAGTGCTCGCTCGAATGCATTTCTATTTCCTCGGCTGACTCACGTAATCCTGTCAACAGGCTCCACTTGAGTTAACTGAATGCCAGCCTTGTTATCGCTTAGCTCGTTGTTGTTGCCGTTAATGTTGTTATTGTTGTTGCTGAGCTCTATCCGTTTATGCGTACCACATGCTCTGTGTATTAAGTTGAAAAATGTAATAAACATTCGTTACGTGCTCCCCCCACAGGCTCCCATTCGGAATCTCATGGCAGCGCCAGCAATGCGTCAGCCGTTTCGGTACGTTCGAACCGCAGCAATTCGGTGGCGCCCGGCAAAGTGTCCGGCGGCGGACATCATGAGCGGCACGGCTCCTCGCATCGCCAGCATCACTCGCAGCTGCAGTCACCTCAGGAGGAGTCGCTGATAACGAACATAACCACAAATCCAGTGGCCGAGAGCGTGACCGTTGAAATTATTGAGCCCGGACATAAGTAATGCAGTAAATGCTAGATATATATATATATTATGACAAAAGCATATATATATGTATTTATAAAATTATTATATAATCACATCGTCGTTTAATATGCACGCGATAATATGGCGCCTGCGGGCCCAAACATAATGCCATGTGTAGAACCCTTTTTTAATGAAAACATTTTTTGCAATTAATGGACAATTTTTTCCAAAGCGTATTACAAACTCCTGCAGAACCACACGACAAACAAATGCTAATTAATTACTCACATAGACATAAACAGCATATGTGTATATCTATATACATATATATACAATATATGCATAGTTATTACATAGCAAGCAATGTATATATTGTATTGGATATATGCGACTACACCATGAAAAAAATGTTCGAAAAAAACCTTGCATAACAAATTCATACTACTCTTTATTTCAAAAAAAAAAAAAAATAAATAAATAAATAAAAAAAATAAAAATTTAAAAAATATATTTAAAAACAAGAAAAATTAAGATCATACAATTTAAATAATTTCTTAATTTATATATAAATATTGTACGCAGATGTAAAGCTTTGGGTTCAATAGCTGTAATAGAACCTTTGCCTAAGCACCCAAGCAACAAGAAATTTCATAGAAATGCAAACAACGGTTTTGTAGCAAAATCGAGTTGTTGGTATAATCCTTACACAAAATAGGAAAAGCGAAAATCATTGCCAAAAACAACAATCGGAACAAAAACAACCAAATACAAAGCCGATTATGTACAATGTACATAAGCACAACGCCTTATCTTATCTATACCTAACTAGAAGCAGAGTGGTACCGGTTACAATATACATATATATACAGCTCTATATATCTATATTGCTATATAGAAAGCGCAAGTTCCGGCCACTATTCCAATTGCTGCTATAGCTCCCAAAATATGGATATTGAAATTCTGTAAGCCAATGCTAAGAATAAATTGAAATGAAACAAAAACAAAAACAGAAATGAAATAATAATGGCAAGAAATATTAAAAACCTCGGGACCATATTTTATAATCAAAATATGCGTTTCAATTAATGAAGCACGCACGTTTTAGTTCCCACTAACATTCTTTTATCAAGTGTTTTACTCGAAAATAATTTTTAAGCTAGATATTGTTAAACGCTGGCTGAACTAAAGTTTAGGGAACACACACAAACACACTCAAGAATGAACGAGGATGGAATAGAAGCGAAATGAGAGAAGCGAGAAGGTAGCACCAATGCACACTTAAGTGCCGTAGTTCGAGTAGTTATATATACGAGTAGCTGCTTAATGAAAATAATCTAAATTGACTTCCAGCTAAATTTACAATCTTTCGGTTCTCTGCAACACATCTGTAAAATTTTGTGCTGAATTTTGATTTACACGTGAGATAAGTGCAAAACACCCTAATTTAACAATTTTAACGTACTTTCATTTCGTCCTTTTTTGGAACCCTCTGGAATGGTTGATTGAGAAGTCAGCATGGGGCGAGCTAAGAATAGGGGAAGATTCTTAGAGCGTCCCGTGCTGAGTTCACATTAAGCTGACCGCAAATAAATTTAAATATATATATATACATATACATATATAGTACATAGAATGTTGAGTATATTAAGGTTTTTTGGTTTTCCGCTAAGCCCCCCCTCAACAAAAAACTCTCATTTGCTTTTGTGCTCAATCAAAGAAGCTTAACTGTGAGAATAAGAAAGTGAATACAAAATGTGTTTATACTTAAAAAAAAAAAATAAATAAAATAAAAACATACAAACGAAAAAAAAAACAAGTTTAAATAAATACCTTAATTAACTAACTTTACCAATACCTAATGAAATAAGCCTAAAATGGTACGTACAATATAGTAGAGCGAAAGTATATCGCATAATCTTAAACAGGATACTTAAAATTTCAAACCACAACAAAACTTAAATAAAAATGCTTGAACAAATACATATTTGCTAAAAACAAGTAATTAACAACAATAACGATCAAAACGTAATACTAATCATAGTAATAATAATAATGATAATTTTATTCAACTTGCATCGAATTTTTCTTAAACGGCAGACAAACAATCTTATTTCTAGGGCATCTAAAATATATATATATATTATGTATACATACCTATTTACATTCATACACAGCACAAGAGCAAAAAGTTTAGAAAACAGACGAAAAGAGAAATTATTCAAGATCAGCAAAGAAGAAGAAAAAACAACTTAAGCTTTGAAATTTGGGGAAGGATTTCAAGGTTTAACTTGGTTTTTGTGACAACACATAAGGAAAAGCTAAAATCTAAATATAAATATACACATATATACTTATATATACATATACATAAGATTTATGAACATTCTCCAGACACTGATTTTTCTATTTACATCAAACTACAAAAATGTTGAAGGCAGACTTTAAGTAAGCGAATTTTAAATAAGCAAACAAAATCATAAGAAACAAATATTTTAAAAAATTATATACATCAAATATATATGCTTTATTTACTTTAATATTTATACACAACAAAACTACATGACAAAAAAAAAATTATTATAAAAGTCTAGTGAAAAAGAAAAGTAATGCGATAAATTCATTTACACTTTACTAAACAAAAATCAAAAACAAATTTTATACATATACCAAGCAAAATTTCGTAAATCTAATAAAAATCTATATAGAAGAGAATAGTAGATAAAAAAAATGCACATACGGAAAATAATAGAATAATAATAATATTAATAAATATATTGAATGCTAAAGTATGAAAACAGGCAAGAACTACATTCAAGATTTCTCATGTGACTCATGTAATACTAGACACAACAACAAGAACAACTAGGAGTTGAGCGTAGTTATAGTATTGAAAAAATAGAAAAAAAATATACTAAACAGTAGCCAGGTTTATAGCGCGCTAGTTAATCGTTAAGTAAATAAATACATGGCATTCTAAAGAACAAGATAAGAAATTAATGAAAACCAAATACTTACAAATGCTTTTTTTCAACAACTTTAAGAAGCTGAAACGCTACAACAACCACTTCGTATATTATACATATAATGTGCATATATATACACATATATATATACATATATATATATATACATATACAAAATTATATAGATTTATATTTAAAGATCAGTTCACTATAATAAAAACTATATTACCATAACTTACAAAACAAAACATAAACTACAGTCTTTTATAGTGTGGTGCCCCGGAATACGCTCAGCCTGCCCTCCGGCTCCAGTTCCGGCTGCTCGGCCGGCTGACGTTTGCTGATCACGCGCTTGTGATAGCTCTGCTCGGCCACGTACCGCAGATGCTTGGCACTACCAGCGCCCGTCTTCTCCACGAACCGGTAGAGATATCCATTGCGCTGCTGCAGCAGCTCGTGCGGATGACCCAGCTCCACGACCCGACCGCGATCCATGACCAGCACACGATCCGAGTCCATGACCGTATGCAAGCGGTGTGCAATGGTCAGCACCGTGCAGTTGGCGAACTTGGTGTGTATGGCCTCCTGGATGAGCTGATCCGTGCTGCAAGTGGCATTGGGATGAATTAATAATATAGTTAAAGTGATTTGGTCGGCAATGCCCGACTACGAGCTACCCTGCATTTCAGGTTCTAATTTGAAGGAATACCGGAATACCTATGCGAAAGAAGCATGCACACCCATGATATGACTAATTCTATTGTCTTTCAGTTATGCTCAGTCTGATAATCGGTTTTTGGTGATAATCAGAGAACTGGATTAGATATGGAAGAGTCATGATGGGCCTGTTCCGCGTATGACATAAGACAATTCCAAATATCTATGGCACATATCTGTGTCTAGGTTTTGTACTTTACGGACGGAAATTGTCAAATCGATTTAGCTGTCTTCATGATGGATAATAGGTACTTGTACTTGATGAGCTCATGAGCTACATAAGTGGTTAAAAATTTGGCCATGAATCATATTGGGGTGCACACTTACATCGGATCCACGTTGGCCGTGGCCTCGTCCATGATGAGTATTGTGTTGTGCCGCAATATGGCGCGGGCCAGGCAGATTAGCTGGCGCTGGCCCATGCTGAAGTTGGCGCCTCCGTCGTGCAGTCTGTAGCTGAGGCCGCCGTTCAATGCCGATACGAATGTCTTTAGCTTGACGGCGTCTAGCGCCTGCCACAGTTCCTCGTCCGGCTGATGCTCAAACGGATCCAGGTTGTAGCGCAATGTGCCCGAAAAGAGAACCGGATCCTGTGGTATTATCGAGATGCGACTGCGCAACTCCTGCAGGCCCAGCCTGGCAATGTCATAGCCATCGATCTCGATGAGGCCCTCGTTGAGCGCCAGGCGAAAGATTGCCTGGACCACGGAGGATTTGCCAGCGCCTGTGCGACCCACAATGCCCACCTTCTCCTTGGGATGTATGGTGAAACTAAGACCCTTCAGCACATAGTGGCTGTGTTCACTGTAGCGCAATCGCAGATCCTTAAAGTGCAGCTGGCCCGCACTGGGCCAATTCGCGGGCAGATTGACGGCTGGCTCAGTCTCGTAGGAGGGCTCTGGGGGTATCTGCACGTACTCCAGGACACGCTCTATGCTGGTCATCTGGTTCTCCAGCTCGACTGTCTGCCGCATGCCCCACTGGCAAATGATGCCCAAGGTCATGGATTGCGTTATGGCCAGGCCCACATCGCCGCTGTAGTAGCTGCGATTGATCACCAGAAAGCTGAACGTAACCACCAGAATGTACAGCACACAGATGAGATCCGTCCAGAAGGCAAATGCCCTATTGATGCTCGCGTGCAGATAGACAGCCGAGGTGTGCTCATTTTGATAGTTGTGGAAGCCGCTCTCCAGGCGCTTGGTGGCGCTTAGAGCGCGTATTGCGGTGAGGCCCTTGAAGGTGGTGTTCGTGTAGGAGTAGATGGGGCTGCGAGCTGTGATTGAGGAGAGTCAGTCAGAGAGAGAATCGCTTTGATATCAATGTAGATTCCACTCACAAATAATCTCGATGCGCTTGAGGCTTCTGCTGGCGCCTATGTAGAGACGGCGGGCCACGTAGAGCAGACTGATCATGATAAGGG